GGCGAGCAAATTCTCTTTGGCTTGCTTCAGTTAAAAGGCCTCATGAGTGAGATTGTGAGAAAGAAAAAAAGGAGAAAAGAGAGGGAGAGCGAGCTGTCACTTTAAGCCATTAAGTCTTGCTATAAAACTCCTCCAATAAAAATGACAGCTGTGGACCCCTTTTTTCTCAAAAGGAGAGCAAAAGCATCGCATCAGGAACACAAAACTGGACGGCCGTAAAAGACAAACTTGGCCAAATGCTTTTGGCAGTGTCACACACACACACACACACACACACACACACTCTCACAAACGCACGCACGCATGCACACACACACACACACAAACTCACTCACAAACGCACGCACGTAAGTGCGCGTGCGCACGCACACACACACACACACACACACACACACACACACACACACACACACCCTGTATTACCTTTGTTCCTGAGTTACTGCCAGACGAGGAATGTAGCCCTCAGCCCCCTAACTTAAGACAAACACCACCATGAATCTCACTTTCTCATCAAAGACCGTGAACTTCACTGATTTTGGAAATGAGGGTCAGAGAATTTATGTAGGTATCAGATGCTCAGACAAGTGAAAAAAGGGTGATGAGAAATCCAAAAGTCAAAAGTGTCAGAGTCAGAAGTAAAGAAACGCTAAAAGCTTAAGCTCTACAGAAAAACAAATCATGTCCATTAAAATTCCTTGACTGTGTCTTACATTTATTCTTCATTTAAGGTCAGCGTACAGATATTTAATAATGCTTTGTATGGAAACCTTATGAATTATCTTGTTCCTGGGTATTTCGCCATAGATTTGATTCATATTTAAGAATAATATCTAAATGTCTACATCATAATTTCTTAATTTTAGACATTTCTTATTTAGCCTCAGGTGTTATTTATTCTAGTTCTGTGTTCCCTCTGAAATTGGCTTTAAGTCAGTTCCTAACCGAGATCAGACCAAAAAAGAAAACAAAAACAAATCACCATACTTTTTTTTAGTAAACATGTGGCTCTGGTATTTTATTTTGTTTTATTTGTTTTATTTTCAGGCATTTTGATGATTTATAATACTGAATGTTGGAATGAAAATGGAAATATTCTGTTTTTATGACCCTTTGTTGTGGTTTATAACCAAACAGATAAAGCCAATGAACCCTTTCAATCATCCCTAAAGTAACAACAGATTTAACACTGATCTCAGTGATCGTTGAGTTAGTCTAAAGACAAGAGGAAGTTTAGAGAGAAGCTTAAAATGTTTATCAAAGAGAAAATTAAAGTTGTTAAAAGTCCATAGGACCTCTGGGATGACAGAAAACGTCAGTCCGATTCACCAGTGTTTTTCCACAAATCTGCTGGGGAGACATTTATTCCTATTCAACAGGAAGCACTGGACCCTTCACTAATGAAAAATTAAAGATCTTCAATCATCTGGAGGTCTACGATTTTTTTGTTTTAAGGAAAGCTGAGCCGATCTCGTCTGAAACCATGGTCATGCAAATTGCAGCAGTTAATGCTGACGAGGAAAGTCACAGCGTTGTTTACGTCATCTGTGGGTGATGGCTAAAGAAAAAGGATATATCCTCACTGCAACTGCAAAGCTGGGTAAGTCTTCATTAATCAGTATTCATTTATTTATTATGATCGCGGGTTGACACCTGATTCAAAACGCAAATACAACATGACTCTGGATTTAAAATTACACAAAGATGAATGTTTTTTTTTTAATCTTCGGTAATTAACAAATTCTTACTTAGTTACATGGACTCACCGTGAACTAAATGAGCCTCAAACTGTCCGTTGCTGCAGGAGTCCAGGCTTTCTTCTGAGAGTTCGGATCGCTTCCTATCATCTCTTTCATATTTTGCGGTCATTTACAGAGGAAATTCCAATAAAACTTTTTTATCAAGCCTCCCACGGGCCGAGCTATCAATCACACAGCAAGAATGATCCATCTTTTTTTTCTGAATCCTCCTCCAAACATGCAAAACAACCAAATTATAGGCAAAATGCATTGTTTCTTGCCACCCACGTACCATGATGCAATGAGAGAAACATGAATACTGACATCACAAAAGATCCTCCTATTTGGCACCTCTCTGCAGCTCTCTTCTGATCACAAACTAGAGGGCGCTCTTTACCTTTACCGCTGTGACACTAGCGGTTAGCATTTTCAGTTTGCCCATTTTCAAAAAAAAGCAATAGAAGAAATCATAGACTGATAGTGACCTGGCTTTGTTGCTACTGAACTTGTAAGTAATAATATTTGTCCAACAGTGTGGATCTTTTTACGTTGTGGCTTATTTTAGTATTAGTTTGCTTATGTTAGTGTTAGCTTGTTGTTAGCACTAGCTACAGCAAACTACAGCGGATTTGTTCACGGCAGTTGTGATTCCACTTTCAACCATTAGGGCGAAGGACCTGGAAACTGCTCACTGTAACTTTAACAACCTTTGTTAGTCATTTTCTGAGAACTTTAGGCAAGTTTTATGGGATTCCAGATCTTAACATACTCAAAATGTGACACAAAAAGGTGTCACACCAGAATATCACTCTCATGTGACTGATGGTGAATATTGTGAACAGGGAATTTCAAAAATGTCCAGGAACAGTTGCGGAAGTTCAAAAAGTCCTTGTGTGAGTTGCAGGGCACTGGTGTTAATTAATGCAGCGTTATTCCTCATTTAAAAAGTCAGAGTAAGCGGTGGACCCCGTCTGGAACACTTCTCAGTTTAGTGTAGTAAGACAATTTGTGACTTCATTACAAAACAGTTGTGCAACTGTCACAGGTGAGTCATGCTCCCCATGACTCAGATGAAACTTATTAGAAAAGTGTTGCCATTTTAGCAGAATTCCAACATATTTGTTCACAGTTTCTATTATTTTTGTGTCCAAAACTGGTTCTTTATAGTCTAAACAACGTTAAAACTCCAGGGGTGATCATAGTTTTGAGAATGAGACAGTCATTGTGCAGTTTACTGTGATTTACATGCTTTTAAATAAAAAGATAGATTTGACAAGACTATAAATGTTATTAAACAAATGACTATTGTAAGAAGAGAAAGTAGGCTTGGTGTTGATACATTTGGTTAAAGCAATGGAACAAATGAGAAATCAATATTAACAGACTAAATGTATTTTCTCTTGTGATTTTTTTTTGGCATCTCTCACTGTTGATTTCACTGACACACTGTCATGATCATCCCTCTAATGCTGGGATGGAAGGACACACTCTCCTTCCAATGTCATCCATTTGGTCTTTATTGCTTGATGTCAGTGTGTGTGTGTTTGTGTGTGTGTGTGTGTGTGTGTGCGTGCGTGCGTGCGTGCGTGCGTGTGTGTGTGTGTGTGTGTGCACGTGCAGGGAGGGGGCAATAGTTGATGGTGGGACCACATCAGCACAAAGTACACATGCAGTACAGAGCATCAGCTGCCAAAAGCCAGGTGTCGTCATCACGGCCAACAACCAATCTATAACTGTAAAATGTGCTCGCTGTCATCTCAAAAAGATGCATGTCAGGATTTCTAATGGAGTACGACATTAGATAATTACTCTGAGTAAGCGGATAATCAATAAATCCAAGGACTTTAAGGGTGTCCTTGAAGAACCAAAGGAACATTCTGCTTTTGCTGGTGTGATTTCAAACATAAATGATCACTGAAAGACTCAAAGAGAATACCACTAAAGATCTGTCACATGTGGAAAAGGGGTTGAGATTTACACCGACCATTAAAGACTGTTAGATTAAAGCTTTCCAGTCTGTTTATGCTGTCATGGGCAGTTCTAGTGCACGTTCAGGCAGCATGAAACTCCAATCATTCTCATTACAGATACACAATACAATGCACCTGCAATAACAGCCTGTCAGTGTGTGCAGCATTGGCGGTTTAGCGTATTTCTGGGAAGCCACATAAAGGGTGTTGTGGCAGGAGTGTCAGTGAGCAGAGCCTGTAACTGAAGAAAGCTGCCCAGTGCCTCAGGAGGTCCCTGAGAATCTCCCTGATGCAGCTGGTGATGTGTGTCAAGGTGTAACATGATGCTCTTATGAAGAAAGGCAGCAGACACAATACTGGGGGAGGGTATGGGGGGGACAAGGGTCTCCTGTGTTCACTTTAGCAAACTTACAGTAGCAGTCAGTGTTAATGATTTACAGCATGGTGAGTGTGCCTGTGTTTAAGCTGGGGAGTCAATGGGCCGTCAATGGGCCAATTAGTGCAAATTAGATCTGACCTCAGATTAAACACCTGGATCTTCCTGACTTTGATGTGCCGGAAGCTTCAAATGAACATAAACTGACATTTGTGCAAAATAAGCTTTAACTGAACATAAAATGTGCCATTTCTTGCACAATGATCCATGCAACGCTTTGCTCAACAACGTCATCCATAAAACATGGTCCAGATGTAAACTTTGAGCTAAGTGCAGAGGTCACATGTGAGGTTACCGGCACCTATCAATGGTTACACCGACGTTATTAAAGTGGTCTCTTATATTATATATTAGGAACACGTCTTATGAGAAAGCTAAGTCCTTCCAGATTTAGGTCAAAATAGAGTATTAAGTTCATTTTACTTAGAAATGGTAAGTTCAAAAGAAGTTTAGGTGCTGGTTAAAAATGGAATGTGTTCATTTTTTATGATCTAAAGCGACCAAACAAACAAAAATAGGCCCACATTTAAAGTAGTTTGTTTTGTAACGTTTAGAAGTTGAAACGAACGCGAGTCTGAGCTCTTATCAGAGTTGTCATCAGCTCACTCAGTTGCTTCAGGAATTAAACCTAACTTTGACTTATCTGGGTCTTTTCTTTCTCAGATAAACGATAAAACACAAAGTTTTATCAGTTAGCAACATTTAAAGAGATGTATAAAAGCGCGTGAGCAGCTCCAAACATGTGGGTGAGCCGCACGCGCTGTCAAAACAGAAACAAAAGAATTACGCGGCGCGAGAGCAACTAAATCCGTTTACAAACACCTCAGCGAGGCTTTGTCATAAAACAAACAAACTTACCCAATGACAGGAACGGTTTGGTTTCCATGTCGGAGTCGTCGGTTAGCTCATGCCAGCTGAGGCGAGCGTGTTCGGGAGTTTTCTCCCACACAAGCGGCAGCTCGAGCTCCGCGAGCCGGACCGGGACGCTGCTGCTGCTGCTTCTCCTTTCTTCTTCCACTGCTGCTGTGAGCGGCAGAAGAAGTGGCAGGTCGATGTGTGACCGTATCAGAAGATAACCTAACGTTTCTGCCTCTGTTTGCGCACTCAGCTGCTCGCAGCTCAGTGACGCGCTCCGGTTGTACAACAACTCCAACTACTGGAACGGCTCAGCAAAAGAGGGACCTGCGCAGGCAGGGGGTACTCCCACCGACGAGCTCCGGGCTGCAGCGACGCGGCGCAAACAATTAAAAAAAAAAAAAAAAAAAAAAAAAAAAAAAAAAACGATGAGACCTTGGGTACGCAACATGTGGAATCCTCGAGAAGGACTAGAAGAAACGCGCAGTTTTTCGCCAGTTGGAGGTTTTCTGCACCACACCAGCTGAGCGGCAGCTACCTATTCATTTCTTATCTCCTGTTATTCTGACCTGGTCACATGTGCTGAACCAGGAGTGTTGGCTCAGCACAGATTTTTCTACTCCCTTTCCTTTAAATTTGAGTCTAATTCACAGAAAAAAGTCAGAAACTTACGTTTATTTTTGTCTTTTACTGATAAAAGTGCCTCAATAACAGAGCATTGCAATTAAAACATGATTTAAAAAACCAACAGTAACAGATTACTAAAACAAGACATTTTAATCAGAAAGTCTAAATGACTCCAGACTGCTGAAACAGTGTTGTTTATTCCATAATTGAGGTGCAACAGACTGGAAAGAGTGATCCCATCCAGTTTTATATCTGGACTTTGGAATTACTGGTGGATCTCTGGATCAACAATCATGTGTTCAGTCTTGAGTTTAAATAAATATTGGAGGCACATTCATAGCAAATATCTTTGTACGAAAAATGAAAAAGGGGTTTAGGAATGTTACCGTTAGGAATGGGCTGGTAAACAGTTTAATGAAAAACCAGTCCCTCTGACCACAGCAACAGGTGGGGAGGGTGAACTGCCTTAGATCAGGTTAGGAGTTTGCCCTGTAATTAATAGGGTGCTGGTTCAAACCCAGGCTCTGTCAGTGCCAGTTGTGTTCTTGGGCAAAGACACTTCCCCTTCCCTGCTCCAGGGCAGCTGTTGCTTCAATGTAGCTCATCACTATCGCTGTGTGAGTGAATGAATGATTCCATGTAGTGTAAAGCGCTTTGGAGTCCTCTGACTCAGAAAGATGCAGGCCATTCATCAACCCCTGGTTACTACCAGGCACGCAGTCCCAGAAATGCATTTGCAGGAGCTGTGTGACACGACAGGAAGGGACGAGCCGCCGTGGTCGTGGGGAAAACATTTCCATTATGATCCACGCTGCTTAGATGTTAAATGTTGTATGGTTGATGTGGAAACTGATTACTTTAGAGCTACAAGCGGCACAGGCAAATACCCTCCAAAAGAAATCACCAGAAAAGGAATCTAAAGAACAGTAAAACAACTTTTTAGAAACATTATGTTTTATTTGTAGATGGAGTTTCTGTCACTTTCATGACCCCAATGACTCTGTGACCAGTTTGAAAGTTGTAAACATTTTCAAAATGTTTTGAGACATTTTGGAAACTCCTCTTCAAAGGCCATTCTCAGTCTGTTGCAGTTGTTGCAGCCCCATTAAGATACTGACTTAAACAGTTCTAAACACAACCGTTTACACAAGTCACAACTCTGTGTGCACCTGGTCTCCTCTAACATGGCAGGTTTTACATTTTCCATGTCCGGTCTCACTCAGGGCCGCTTCCTCTGGCTCTCTTGTTACGAGCCTCCTTTTATTAAGGACTCAAAGGTGTTTGCCACGCTTTTAATAAAGTGTGATTCATAATAAATGCAAGCCATGACACACTGGAGATCAAAGACGAGTGTGTAAGAAAAGAGTAAATTGAAGTTTGAATGGGCACCGATCCAAGGTGTGTTTTTGTACAGAGCTGCAGATGTGAGCAGAAAGAATGATAGTGTCTGATTCTGCCTTGGTTCTTTGTTGAATATTTCCCTCATCTATCCGCTGCTTGAACACTTTTTAATCATGATTGCTGGATGATCAGTGAGTTATATTTGTGCTTAGTTCAAAAGGCTGTTTTGCCTCGAGCACTTAATCTATAATATAAGGCAGACGATCCTTTTAAACACCTCAATCTGGACGCTTTCTCTCATCTTTCGTCTGGATCGAGCTATTTAATCCTTGACTCAAGCCGTGATTAATAGCAGCCTGACCCTTCACCTTCATCCACATAATTTTTCTGGTGGCTCCTTTAGCTCTTTTCTACGCCTGAGGTGTGATGGTCGCCGTGGCCTTGAATCTTCGCTCACATCTAAACTGCTTTATCTTTGCTCAGTTATGTCCTTTTGTTTCTTAACTTCATGCGGTGTGTTAAGTGGCCTCAGGGGATGGGACACCACCGCTGTTACGTTACACTTTGCTGGGGTTGCTTTGACAGTCTGTCCCCCCATGCTCTCCTCTTTAAGTGGGTGATAAATGGGCCTTTTGGTGTCCTTTGTGCTTTCGTAGAAGGCATCATGGCTTCTTTCTGTGGCTTTGACGACAGTTCTCAGTTCAGAGGAATGTACAAATATAGGTTTTGATCATTCCCAACAAATCACTGACTAAATCAAAAAGGTGAAAGTTGGTTAAATACTTTGTCTGTTTCTATAATTCATGATAAAATCACTCCAGATCGCAATCCTTTTTGTTGAATTTAAAATGAAAAGCCTAACATTCCTTGATGAAATAGATAGATTTAGGGTACTAAGTCATCAGTACATCACTATTGCTGCAGTGGGTGACTTCGCTGATCAGCACCAAAAGGCATCAACGTTAATGCGTTAATGCCATTAAAAACGTTTTATTGTGTCAATAATATAGGGCCTTACATGGACAAGCACATCATACATTGGTGATCTTCTTAGTCCCTACACCCCCAGCAGGTCCCTGAGGTCCAGTGATCAAAGCCTACTGGTTGTGCAGCACCAGGCTGAAGACCAAAGGTGACAGATCATTTGCCGCTGTGGCTCCCAGACTCTGGACCTCTCTCCCCCTGAGCCTGAGATCAGTGGACTCAGTGGTCTCCTTTAAAAAGCTGCTGAAAACTCACTTGTTCAAGCTGGCTTTTGTATGACCTTCTTCACCCTCTCCTTGTTCTGCTCTCCCTACCTATTCCACCTACCTCAGGATCCACTGATTTCCCTCTTTCCTATTCACTCTCTCTCTTTCTTTACATTTTTAATCACAATTGTCTATTTTTTGCTCAGTTTAAATACATTTTTAATCATTTTCTAATTTTTTTTTTACATTTTTACATTTTTTGTTTTTGTGAAGCGCCTCGTGATTTTTATCTTGAGAGGCGCTTTAGAAAAGATCTTCTTCTTCTTCTTCTTCTTCTTCTTCTTCTTCTTCTTCTTCTTCTTCTTCTTCTTCTTCTTCTTCTTCTTCTTCTTCTTCTTCCTCTTCTTCTTCTTCTTCTTCTTCTTCTTCTTCTTCTTCTTCTTCTTCTTCTTCTTCTTCTTCAAAGTTTGCCACAATTTAATCCATTCAGGGCAATGGGAGATCAGCTGTGAGACTTAAAAACCAGCATTCAGTGATCAGCAGAAAGGCCATTTTAGTGGGTGCTCTATAGCAAAAGAAAGCACCAGACATTGTGGGAGGGATTCTGCTACGTTAGACACTATTTTAAAGCAGCTGCCTATTTTCTATCTTTCCATCCTGCTTCAACAGTAACACTTCAATTTATTTCAGTAATTGAACTTAGACTGCAAGACCATCTAAAGCAGGGGTGTCAAACTCATTTTAGCTCAGGGGCCACATTGAGGAAAATCTAGTCCCAAGTGGGCCGGACCGGTAAATTAAAAACAACTTCAGATTGTTTTCTTTGTTTTAATACAATCAATATAAAACAAAGCTGGAGCCTGAGGACAGTGTATCCAAAATAGTACAAGTACAACACCTGAAGTTTACTTGAAAATTTGAAAAAATAAATAAAAATAAAAAACATTCCTCAGTGATTCAAAGAGCTTACAGATCACATGGCTAGATCAGTTTCATGCAGCACTTAAAGTATATTTGACTCATTTTACTTAACATCTTTTAGCTTTCACCAGCACATCAGTATCAGAAGTCACATCCTGAGTGGCAGCCAACTTCAGGATGTGACTCACGTTCTTGTGTGAGCCTTGAGCGCAACTTTGTTTTATTTATACTCATTACAGAGAAAACTTGCTCACAAAGATACGTTTATTTTCACTCTACGTTGTAAAGTATGAGAACAAAGTTTACACAACCATCTCGCGGGTCGGATTTAACCAGTTTGCGGGCCGGATCCGGCCCGCGGGCCGTATGTTTGACACCCCTGATCTAAAGGCTCAGGAACCCTTTGCAAGTGTTTTGGATTAATGAGCTGATTAGAGTGTGACACTTTGAGTCTAGAATATTGAACCTTTTCACAATATTTTAACTCTCTGAGGTTTTGAATGTGGGGTTTTCATCAGCTGTAAGCCATGATCATCACAATTACAACAAATAAAGGCTTGAAATATCTGGCTTTGCATGAACTGAGTCTATCTCATGTATTAGTTTCATCTTTTAAAGCTCCAATGTCAAATTTGGAAAACAAATTAGCTTAAAACATTTTACTCGTGCATCTTATCAACATAGCTACGAATATATTGTGGGGATTAAAAGAAAGAAGAAAAAATAATAATAAAGTGGTTCTCTCTCATTTGTCTAAAACTGCCGCCAATGACACAGTTTGGATCAAAAGCATCTACTGAAGCATCTGGTTGTTGGTCTGGCTGAACTGCTGCAATTCCCTGGGTCCTCCATTCATTACACACTCATGTATTTAGCCAGATCACACCACTGATGAGAGAGGTTCTCCACTCAATATCAGAGAAAAAGAAACAGCCAGCTGCTACCGCTTCAACTTTAGGACAAACTACCAGAGTCCCAAAATGATAAACATCATTTGAAGTCACGGACAACAAAAGATGTTTGGATGTAGAAAATGGTAACTGGTGTTTAGTGCTGTCTAGTTTCATCTAGCATTGCGGGTTTTCAGTTCCAGCAGAAGCGTCTCAGTGAAGATACCCGAGGGGATGGGTGAGTGTCCTGTGACCGTGTTTAGCCCGGGGTACACAGATGACAGATTCACTGCGCCATGAAAACGCTGCGGTTTTGGGAAATCAAATGGTCACACACGACTCGCTATGCCGCTGAACGTTTCTTGGAAAATCATGCGATAGTAACAACATCACGCGGGAGTCGAGAACAGGAAGCGGAAAGC